AATATTTGTGAAAAGGAGTAAGGATGAGTCTACTCACTGGATTTATTCAATGAGATGATCCTAAGAGAACTCAAAGTCCTACCAGAATTTATTATTGCTGGACACAGTCATAATGTGAAACACTGTGTGGATGGTAGATACAAAAAAAAACAAAAAAAACTCTAGGAACACTTATAGAAATGGAAAGTAGTAAAAATGGTTAGTTGATTTATTTATTTATTTATTTATTTTTTTTTTAGGGGCATATCAACTTCTATGGTTTATTTAATGCTGAAACGTAATATTTTGAACATAATTTAATGGCTTCAACTAAATATATTTTGAGTGCTGTTGTATGCCTTCAGCTGCAGATAAAATCTATTGATGGTCATTGTACTATAAATAAGTATTGTTGGTAATTTTTTAATAGAAAAATGTATTGCTGGTATTTTTAGTATAAAAATGTATGTTTATACTTTCATAGTGTTTTGTTTGGGGGTTCACTATTTTCCTATATCTGGGATCCTATCAATAATCTTCTTGTTGATTATAACCCCAAAAAACTTACTAAAGACAGAAGATAATAATTGACATTGTATTTAAATTTTTGAAGAACAATGTTGACTGGAAAGTAAGAAAGGTAGAAGAATGTTCCACAATTAAGAGGTCCATTAGAAGAGACTTTTAGCATAGAACTTATGGTTATATCTCGCCATTTCAACAGTAAAAGGATAAGATCTTGCCACCAAACTAATATTGCATTTAAATTCATAAAGTTTAGGTACCATAGAAGAATGTTTGTTAGAACAATTACCATGAAAATATTTATAGAAAGAGAAGCTACTTTATGGTGGTGAGAAAGTAGCTGAAACCGAGATGCCAGATCAGGAACAATAACATTGCAGATTCTTCTTTGCATTTTATTAAGAATCTCTAAATATATAGCAGAAGCACCAGACTAGATGTGGCGGCAATATTCAATGCTTAATTTCTGGATTCTTTCTATAAAATTTGATTTTCTTTGTATAATTTAAAGTCTAGTTTTCTTTGCAACTTGAAATTAGTAGTTTGGTTGGCCACTTTCCTGTACTGATTTATCAAGAGGTGTAATTAATATATTGCTTTTTGCTAACCTTTCATTTTACCAAATTCTCAATGCTATGAATGATAGCTTGCATCTTGCTTTATTTTATTTTATTTATTGCTAGCCTTTGCATTACTATCATTTTGTTCTTTTCGTGGAAATTACCTCCTCATGCAGAAATCTATCCTGAGAGACTTTTTAGAAAGGAAATGTTATAAGTGCTTTTTGTTCAATAGAGTGTCATGTAGAAAGTGCAATAATCAAAGAAAATGACTATTCGGGCATATTACTTTGACTAGAGGTGAAAGGACACTGAAATAGTCTTTTGCTAAAAGTTAAAAGTTCATAAAAGTGGCTCTTCCTGCATCTTTATTTCATCTTCAATTATTTATATTGAATGAGATAAAGATTGATGTTCTTAGTAGAAATCTTAATAAATGTTTTATTAATGTTTTGAAAGAAATCCTTTCATTATTGCTGGAAATGTTAATATGAACTGTGTCCTCATATGGAAACATGCAGCATTCATTGATCAAGAAACCACTGCTACTCAAGTTACACTTTTCTTCATTCACCAGCCATTGGGCTGGCATCAATGTATAATGTATGTTCTCCTCATCATTAATGGTAATGTTAGCTGTTTCCTCATATGGAAACATCCAGCATTCATTGATCAAGAAACCATTGCTACTCAAGATACACTTTTCTTCATTCACCAGCCATTGGGCTGGCATCTATGTATAATGTCTGTTCTCCTCATCACTAATGGTAATGTTAGCTGTTTCCTTATATGGAAATATTCAACATTCATTAATCAAACAGTTGATTGAAATTTATAAAATCTTTCTATGAAAACATTTTTTCAGGAAAATAGGTTTTTACATCCACTGTTATCACTCTTTCCAGTATTGATTGGTGTTTCTGTCCTAACCTTTTGTTTGAAGTAGTGTGGAATGTCAGTATTATTATTTTCTCTTTGAGAAATGATATCCATTTTAGCTGTTGCTGCTGTTGAAAGTCCTCAAGCAATCTGATTTGTTATTTGGTTCAGTTATTTGTGATTCTGCAATGTGAGTCCATGAGATTTGAAGAAGGATGATCCTCTGTAAGATCTACAGGGTTTATTTGTTCAGAGTCATTTTTAATCATTAATCTGGGAAAATGGTTAAATTTGGCTGATAGTTGAGACATTTCTGAACAAGCGTGGCACTATGCATGACATTCATTTGAAAGTCTTCGTCTGACAAGGCTAAAGGCACTCAAATTTCATGCTTTTATATCATAAATATTATTTTCACATGAGAGAAAAAAAGAGTAACTTGTATGGATTTCCTTGTTTGTTTAGAGTGAAGAAGTGTTTAACTGTTCAAAAATAAAATAACATTAATTCAGTTATGAAATTGTTGAAAATTTAAAATTCCAAACAAGTCAGACATGCAAATATGTTTACTATTTTACAGTATGAAAAAGAAATAGACTTTATTTTGTATTTATTGTTAGTTGATTTATTGTTATTAATGAACACATGGTTAGAACATTTACTTTCTGACCATGAAACCTGTGTTTGAATCTCACCATGGTCTATTTGTCAAGAAGGTGACTTCAAGATTTTATTAGCCTCAGGAGGTGATCCCAGTGTACGGCAATGTTGAAAAGTTCTTGAAAACCACACGATGGTTTGACTTAAACCTTGTGAGTGGAATTGGGCAGATGGAACTATTTGGGAGCCATCAATGGTTGTGCTATCATGAAGTCACAAGTCATCATGACTGAGGGTTTGAGTGTACTGATCTTGTTCACACCAGATAATGCACTCTCTCCCAGAAACTGTAATTAACGCGCACTCAACATAGTTGTAGTATGAATAAAAGGTGGACTATGTGGGTGTAGAACAGATGCAAATGTACCTGAGCAGGCATTTGCAACAGGGATTGGCTGGCTGCCTTAGTAGACCAGCATATTTATTTATTTGTTATGGATTGGTATCAGGAAAATGTAATGAAGTTTTTTTTTTTAAAGAAATATGGGAGAAATACATCTATACACTGCAGGCCACAAGTTTGGGAATCACCCTCTAGTTTTAATAATTAGTAAGTTTCATGCCTTCTTTGTTTTGCTTAACACCTACAAAGTGAGGCCACTGAAACTATTTAACCCATTAATGTATGGTGTCAAATCTTTAGAGAGGTGGATTACCTAAAATTTAAAATTTGTCAGTCTCTAGATTACCATTCACCTGCAAAGCAGATTAGGTGAAAAGAGCTAAAATTTTTAAGAAAACACACTGATGGGTTAATTTCATTATTGTTATTATCATTTCATTAGTATTATTATTGAATATCTGATAAAACCCTTCAGGAAGAGAACATACCTCTGGCCCGGAGAGAGCTGGTAAATTAGTTTTGAAAAAGCTTCAGTTTTTAGGTGATTCTTTGCAATATAGATGATGGCTCCAAACTTTTGGCCTCTAGTTACAGGTGTAATTTTATTCCATACCTGAATTGCATCAATATAATTATGTTAAAAATCCTTGCAAAAAAGTTGTCTAGTTATCATTATCACAGCAAATTTGTATAAAAGAATATCAAATTTCTATTTCTTTCTACTACTGTGTTCATACTGACAATAATATCTTTATTGCAGAAAGTATTATGTATGTAAATGATTCTTTCACTTTCTTTTTGTCAATCCAAGAACGTTCTTTGTTATCAATTATCTAGAACCTTTTATCTTTAATCTAAAGTTCCAAAAAATAGAAGTGTAAAATTGTAATATAGTTATCGTCAGGATCAGGATTTGTAAAATTGTTGAATAGAGAGATAAATTATAACTGGCTTTATGAAAGGAAAAATTATTCACTGATGTTTATCTTATTTGTGCTTTTTTCTGTCACACGATAGGTTTGTTATGTATTGTTATTATCTATGGACGTCTATTATGATTAATCTCTCACGTACAAGTAGGAATGATATATGATGTATAATGTGTTGGGTACCGATAATGCTATATGCTAATATGTTCTTTGTTCTTGGTTTTTAATATAAAAATATTCTGAAACCTTGAAAAGATGATGAAAAATAATATATCCTAAACTAGTTTTAAAAACAAAACAAAAATCCCACTTATGAAAAAATTAAAATTTATCACTATTTCTGCCTAAAGAACAAATAAGATAACTGATAAGTGATCCTTTCTGCATAATTTATTCTCTGGAATGTTTCAACACTTCAGAAAATGAAACAATATTTTCCCAACAGCACAATCCAAAGAGCATATGCCGTGATTAACCTTGCAAAGAATGAATAGAAGAAAGTATTTTTTTTTTTTTTGATTTGTAGATAGACTAAGCACAATGTCTTTTTATAATCATGGACAATTTATGACTCTAATCATCAAACATCTTTCTAATATATTCACATAAGTTATTGTCTGAAACCGAACCGTTACCTCTTGGCTGACATATTATTTCACCCGTTTTTAATGACAGGACAGTTTTACTCTTCTTCATTTCTCTTTCTCATTTTCATAAATTTTTTTTTCAAGAATTACTCCATGTATATTTGGCCAATGTTTAGCAGATTACTCTTTTGACAATCAGCACATTCTCTCACAGTTTAATGCCATTCGGTTTCTGCTTATCTGTCACTAACGTCGACAATTGTAATATTGGCACATTTATGGCTCTCTATTTGCTGATACAATATTCTGCATTTGGGAATTTTGAGGAAGTGAATTTAAAATAAGGGTTGGGGAATATATAGGAAACAAAAGATTCTGTGTAATTCTAATCACAAAAGTGGCTTCTTTTTAATGTATTTGTCTTTTTAGTTTCTTTATAAAGCAATAAATAGTTGAGAAGAAAAAAGGAGGTGTGTTGTGAAACATAGAAGCAAAAGAAGATAAAGGAGAGTTAAATAGAAGAAGAAATAGAAAATGTTTAAGAAGGAAGCAAAAAAATAAAAATAGGAAATGAATGAATGAGACTGAGAAAGAAGAGAGAAAAAAGTGAATATATGAGGAAAAGAATAAAAAGAGGAACTAGATATGAAAAGTAAGAATGAAGAAAAAAGAAGAGAAAAAAGATATTAGTAGAAGTAAGAAATAAGACAGAAAATGATTTAGCAGAAATTGAATGAACTTGAAAACAGATTGCTATGGGGTGGTAAGTTAAGATTAAAAAGAAAGCTATAATAATAAGAAAAACTCAGAAGACGTTTTGGAATAGAAAGAAAAAGAGAAAGAAATATTGACTGAAAACAGATGGTTGAAAAAAAGAGAAACAAAACCAAGTAAAAGAGGAAAATATAACTGAAGATAGAAGTGATAATAAGGAAATGAATGAATAAATAGAAATAGTTTTGAAATAGAAGATAGAATGAAACAATGAGTGAAAGCATGAGATAACATAGGGAAAGAGACAGTAAAATAAATCAGAAAATGAAATATAGAAAGATGGAATATAACTGAAGGAAATGAATAAAGGAAAAAGAAAGAAAGAAAGAATGCGACTGTTGGAACAGAAAAGAAAAAAATTGAATGAAAGCAGGAAATGTGTGAGGAAAAATACAAATAAAGCAGACAATAAAAGGGAAAGTTAGAATATAATTGAAGGTAGAAATAAAAATAAGTAAATGAATGAAAAAAAAAAGTAAGGCAGAATGAGTCTCTTGGAATAGAAGAGTGAAAAAGAGAATGAAAACAGGAGATGGTGTAAGAAAAAGACAAATAGAGCAGAAAATAAAAGGGAAAGATACAATATAATGGAAGGTGGAAATAAAAATAAGGAAATTAATGAAAAAATAGTTTTGAAATAGAAGAGAGAAAAAGAGAGAAAGAAACAGTGAAAAAAGTAGATGCGATAAGAAAAAGGTATAAAGTACGTACAATATGCAAAGACAATATAATTGAAGGGAATGAATGAAGAAAAAAAAGGAAGGAAAATGAGTCTATAGAAGAGAGAAAAAGAGAGAAAGAAACAGTGAAAACTGGTGATAAGGCATAAGAGGAGAAAATAAAATATAGAAGGATAGAATATAATTGAATGAAATGAATGAGGAAAAAAGAAAGGAAGAAAGATTGGATCTGTTGGAATAGAATGAAAACAGGTGTTGGAAGAAAAAAAGCCAACCAAACAGAATATAAGAGGGGAAGCTAGAAATAAAAATAAGTAAATGAAAAAAAGAAAGAAAGAATGAGTTTGTTGGAATAGAAGAAAGAAAAAGAGAATGAAAACAGATGTCAGAAAACGACAAACAAATAAAAAAAAATAAGAGGGAAAGAATGAATATAATTAAGGAACTGAATGAAAAAATAGAGTTTTGAAATAGAAGAGAAAAAGAGAATGAAACAATGAATAAAAACAGATGTGTATAAGGAAAGTGGCAGGGGATAAAGCAGAATATAAAATATTTAAAGATAATTGAAGGAAATGAATGAAGAAAAAAGAAAGAATGAATGACTGTTGGAATAGAAGAGAGAAAAAGAGAATGAAAACAGGATATGTTGTAAGAAAAAAATCAAACAAAGCAGAAAATAAGAGGGGAAGCTAGAATGTAACTGAAGGTAGAAGTAAAAATAAGTAAATGAATGAAAAAAGAAGGGAAGAATGAGTCTTGGAATAGAAGAGAGAAAAAGAATGAAAACAGGAGATAGCATGAGAAAAAGACAACAAATATAACTGAAAATAAGAAGGAAAGAGAATATAATTGTAGGTAGAAATAAAAATAAGGACCTGATTGAAAAAACAGTCTTGAAATAGAAGAGAGAAAAGGGAAATAAAACATGGAGATGTGAGAAGAAAAAGGGAAGAATAAAGCAGAAAATAAAATATGTAAAGATAGAATATAATTGAAGGAAATGAATGAAGAAAAAAGAAAGAAAGAATGACTGTTGGAATAGAAGAGAGAAAAATAGAATGAAAATGGGATGGTATAAGGAAAAAACAAATAAAGCAAAAATTAAGGGGGAAAGTTAGAATATAATTAAAGATAGAAATAAAAATAAGTAAATGAATGAAAAAAAAAAGGAAGGAAGAATGAGTATGTTGGAATAGAAGAGAGAATGAAAACAGGAGATGGTGTTAAAAAAAAGCAAACAGATAAAGCCAAAAAAGGGGAAGCTAGAATATAATTGAAGGTAGAAATAAAAATAAAGAAATGAATGAAGAAAGAAAGAAAGAGTTGGAAAATCATAAAAATATTCAAATATGTCTAACTAATGAATTATATATTTCTACCCTTCACTGAAGTGAAATGGCTCGCAATCATTTTTTTCCTGACATATTTATTAGCTTTAATTAAAATTCCCTTAGAAAGCACCTTATTTTATTTATTTTCTTTGCTCTTTCTGTTGTTGCCCTCAACCTTCGCCCCAGTACATCTTATTACCCCATGCCTACTTCTCTCTCTCCTTCCAAGATCTTTTTTTCTGACAGTTGCCACTTTTAATTTTATTGCAAGAAAAAGAAACATAAACTCATGAGATTGAGTGAGGAAAGCTTGAGAAATGGTAAAAATCACCGCCTATTGGATATAAGGCATTACATTTGTAAATTCTTTTTCAAAACTCTTTTATTCATCAGCAACATCTCTCTCTCTCTCTCTCTTTTGTGCGAATTCCTGCCTGTAAGCTTATGATTTCCACCCTACTGAAAGCATTCAGTGATTTGTCTCCCTTGTTTATTGTTATTCAAAGACAATAAATTAACATTTTTATCCACATTATAAAAAAAGTCACATTTAAATATATAAAGCAATGTCAAATAAATTTGCTATTGTGGCTGGGCGGTGGATGTTGTCTATAATTGGCTTATTAAATACAGTCTGGCTATTTCTTATTTATCAGCTTCTCTTTATGAATATTCTTGGAAGCTCTAACTAGAGACCACAGCCAAGGTTAGACCACAAAAACCAACCAGCCTATTTTCTCTGTTAACCATTCTATAGAACCAACTTCCCAAAATGTTCTTTTTCTAGTATAAGAATACTAAATAAGCTTTCTACCAATTCTTTTCAATCTATCTTCACTGCATTTATACAATTTTTCTTGTCTAGTCTAACATTCATCCTTGCTTTGAACATTGCTGTCACATCTGGTCTGGGACTTCTGCAATATATTTAGAGATTCTTGATAAAATACAAAGAATCTGTAATGTTATTGGTCCTGATCTGCCATCTAAGCTTCAGTCACTTTCTACCACCATTGTCTAGCTTCCCTGTACCTTTCCTATAAGTACTTGTATGTTCTGATGAACTTTGCTCTATGGTACTTAGACTTTATGAATTTAAGTACAGTTGTGCGTTGTGGTGTAATAGATATCGCCTTGGAGTGAGAACTTGGAGAGCCAAGTTTGAATTCCAGTTGAGTTTGTTAGATTCACTTATGCACAAATACCCTTGGGAAAGGTATGAATCCATCTCTTTCCCCCCAGCTATGGGTTGAATAGCAGGATAGACTGGGTTCTTTAGCCTTGGTTGGCAACCAGTCTACCGCAGAAAGAAATGGCAACTTACTGCAGGAAAAATCTGCATCGTCAGTCATGTATCAAAAGATACATGATCACCCTAACATGTATCACATATGGCACTTGACTGACTGACTAGATCGGCAGTAAGGTCTCATCATTTTACAGCTGAAATGGTGAGATGTAACTGTAATTTCTAGGCTAATAATTTCTTCTCTTGCACTTCTCTCTTCCAGATTGTTGCTTCTCAGTCAACTTTAATCTTCAAAAATTTAAATACAGTGTCAATTATTATCTTCTGTCTTTTTAATTGCTGTTCTTTTATTGTTCTCTCCCCTTAATAGTGTTTTTTTTTTTTTTGTTGTTTTTTTTTCTCATGCTCAGTAACCCCTTGTGTCTTAGTGGCTTTTACTGCCTTGCTTGGTGGGGGAATTATTGAAAAAAAAAAAAAGAAGAAATTTAGAATTCTGCTAATATTAAAAAGAAATTTTCAATTGTCACTTTTCTAGAGTTGGCTATGACAATGACAAAAGCAAAAATTTGAGGACAAAATTTGTGGTCTCATTAATGCTTATTTAGTAATTTGCTTATACATCAGCATTTTTAAGTGAACAGCAAGAAATGTATTCATTATTTTGTTTATAACTTGAGTTAGTATTCTATTCATTTCAAGAAAAGGATATATGACTAATATTATAGGGTTAGATGTGTAGGGTTCTAATTGATAGTAATTCAAATACAAAGTCATTTTCAAATTACCGTCAAGTCCATTAAATTCACTTACATACAAATACTCTTAGGAAAATTATGAATCCATCTCTTCTCCCCCTAGCTATGAGTTAAATAGCATGCCAAACTGGGTTTTATAGCCTTGGTTGGCAACCATTCTAGAGATGGTGACTCAATAAAAATTCTCTGTAACCTAAGCCACTCAAGGAGATGCATTGGCATATAAAAATGCACACTGACTGAAATTCTTCAGTCATGTCAGTTGCACATTCTACTACAGGCAAAGAAAACCTTTCTCATGTCATTAGGTTAGAACAAAAGCTTATAATGTTTTACAACAGGTGGTATTTAAATGTGTGATTTCATTTCACATGTAACTGAAATTTTTGGCATACATATTCTGAAAGGTGGCATTTCAGCACAACTTCAGTCACATTCTCACCAGATTTGGCTTCCCTCTGTATTTTCTACAAATATTTTCATGGCAACTACTCTGATGAGCTTTTTTTCCCTGGTGCTCTGATTACATGAATTTAAGTGTGCTACTAGATTTACTAGTTGAAATAGCTAAATGTAACCACCACTACTATTCCAACAGTTTCTTTTCTCACGCTTCCCGACTGTGGAACTCCCTTCCATTTACTTGCATCCCTGAAAACTACAATTTTCAAAAATTTAATTGCAATGTCAATCATCATTTTCTGTCTTCTTGAATCCTGTTCATCTTTTATCCTTTCCTCAATCCCCCTTTTATCCTTTCCTCAATCCTCCTATACCCAGTCTTTTCTCTCACTTTCACTCTCTGTACCCACCCACCCCACACATACTAGTTGCATTCCTGCCTTGTTTGGGGTGAAATGATTAAAAAAATGTTTTTTGATATCAGTTGTGTATGGATTGGGAATTTAAAATTTTTCTTTGTCAAAAGAGAAAATGGAGGAAAATGAGAGACATTTTCATTGCTTGATTCACTTTTTCTTTTATGAAAAGAAAAAAAAAACACTATACAAACAGCAATAAAGATATGAGCCATTTATGAAGATGGTGCCATAGCTGAGTATTGTTTGTAAGTGGTTTGCTAGTTTCTGTTTGCATTTCTGGAGTTATTATTGCATGCAGATTATTGTCTTTATCTTTGTTGCTATTATCACAATGTTTCAGTATTGTGCTCATTGACCATCATCAGGTGCTTGTCAATCCAGGTAACATTCAGGGAATTTTGAACTGAAACCTTTATTTAATTCTATGGTATTAGACTGTTCTCATTTTACTAAATGTGTCTAAAGATATCTCACTTTGTTTTCTTTATATTACTGCTTAGTTATTGTTCTGCCTAGTGGATTAAAGCATTGGTTTGTTAATTTGGTGATATAGTAATTGTCAGTTTAATCTTTGGGCTAGGCAGTGCATACTTGTATTCAGTGGAAACAAATTTTACTTTATCATCTGCATCTGAAGAAGGTTATGCTGTGCATCTGGTGGGATTGGGACAGTATTGTACATTATAAACTGCTTCTGCAAAATCAGACATTCAATTCAGGCAAGTACTCTTTCAAATTCGGCCAGTTAGAGGCAGCAACTGATGAAAAGCATCCAAAATTAGCCAATCGAAATAATGTTGTCTTCCATCAGGACAACTCAAGATTTCACATCTCTTTTTAGATGTGGCAGCTTGGCTGGAATGTCCAACTACGCCTGCCATACCCACCTTGCCACATTTGGATTACTGCTTATTTCAATCCTTATAAAATCCTCTTAATGGGAAGAACTTCAATTCTCTGGAAACTTAGACTAGTTCATCAGCCAGAAATATACTAAATTCTGGGAGGATGGAATCATGAAGCTACCTCAACAAAGATAAAGAGTTGAACAAAATTGCAAATCTCAAAATCTAAATATTGTCATTGATATTCACTTAAGAATGTTGCAGATTTGTTCCAAATCAATAAATGTATTATCAAATTTAAAAAAAAGGAAAGTATTTCTGTATTTACAAATTTTACATCTGTCAGTCAGTTAAGTGCCATATGTGATATATGCTTGGATTCTCATGTCTCATTTGATTCATGACTGACTAGGCAGAAGATTTTCTTGTAGTAGGCTGCTGTTTCTTTCTGCAGTAGACTGGTTGCCAACCATGGTTATAGGACCCGGTGTGTCCTATTAAGCCCATATTTTTGATAGGGAAGAGATGGATTTATACATCTCCCAACATTATTTGCCTGTGAGTGAATGTAATGAATCTGATTGGAATTTGAACTTGGCTCTCTGATTTCTCATTCTGAGCCATTATCCATGATACTATATGGCACATCTGTACTGTTAATAAAAGATTTTGCCTATGGACACTCAGGAACTCTTTATATGCAATGGTTGCTATATAGTTAGAAGGGACATATATTCTAAGACTATACAATTTATTGATTAGACACTTGAGTATCTGTGTATTTTGAAAGTAGTTTTATTGATGCATAGTTTTACATAGTTTGCTAATGAAATTTTAAGACATTACTTTGCACATAATTTTTTCTCTAAATCTAATTTTATTGAAATACACACAAAACTAAGTTAATAAACAAAATAGGAGCCACTCTCTCTCTCTAGAAATATATATATATATATATGCACGGTGGAGTAATGGATAGCGGCTTGGATTGAGGAATCGCAGTGCCAAGTTCGAATTCCAGTCGAATCCATTACATTCACTTATGTGCTAATACCCTTGGGAAAGGTATGAATCCTCTTACTCTCCCTCCAGCTATGGGTAAAATAGCAGGACAGACTGGGTTCTATAGCCTTGGATGGCAACTGGTCTAGGAGAAGGACAACTAAAAATTCCTTCACCACTATAATCAAATCTCATGTGTTGGGCTGTCGGTTTCCAGGAAAATGATCTGCTTGACCCTCATATGTCGAATCTCGACGGGAGAGTCGATTTTATATAAAAATATATATATATATATATATATATATATATATAATCAGTTTCACCCCATTCAA